CTGTCTGGGGAGAGAACCGGCGAGCAAGGCGAGGCTTTTTTTAACTCTTGATAGCAGAGGACGCGTGGGTGCTTCAGGGGGGCAAGCAAGGCGGGGGCCCCAAACCATCATTCGGTGGGCCGAAAATGGCCCCCGGGCCGCATGTTTGAGACTCTTGCTGTAAAAGGATTCTGGGTCTTCACCTGAGTCATCCTACTTTCTTCAGGGAGGGCTTATACAATTGACTACTCATCCCCTCAGGCACTCTTTCTAGCACTTCTGCCTCTAGCACCTTCCTTTGTTCAGGGTCAGGGCTCTGGTTGGTGTGGTGCCCATGGGGCCGGCAAGGGGACATTCGACAACCGAGGGCTACAGATCAGCGCACCCTTTCCTTCGGCTGCCTGCACTTGGACTCAGGCTTTTGTCCAGGGGTTCTGGAACATGATGATGTCCTCCTTCCTCAGTGCACAAACACTGGATCCAGGTCTTCTTCAGCCTCTCTCCACCCTACCCCTCTGAACAGTAGAGAGGTCCTCCCTCCCCCTCTCCCTCCTTGCCCTCCTCCCTTATACCCTTAGGCTGACGCCAGCTGGGCGCAGCTCCTGCCTCCTTGCCCAGGTGTGCCTGGTCTTCCCCCAGCAACTCTCTCCCTCCATCTCTCCATCTCCATCTCTCTGGAATCCAGCAGCCAGAGTCTCTGTCAAGCTCTCTCTTCATAAATTATAAACAATTATAAATGCTAAAACAGTACTGAAAGTCAAGGGGGGGAAAACGGAAAGAGTAAAAATGCCAGAAAAGTATAACCAGCAACAAACAACAGTACAGTACTAAGATCTAGATCAGTGGTTCTTAACCTTGGGTTACTCAGGTGTTTTTGAACTGCAACTCCCAGAAACCCCAGCCAGCACAACTGGTGGTGAAGGCTTCTGGGAGTTGCAGTCCAAAAACACCTGGGTAACCCAAGGTTAAAAGGGACGTGGCGGCGCTGCGGGCTAAACCGCAGAAGCCTGTGCTACAGCGTCAGAAGACCAGCAGTCGTAAGATCGAATCCACGCAACGGAGTGAGCGCCCGTCGCTTGTCCCAGCTCTCGCCAACCTAGCAGTTCGAAAGCATGCAAATGGAAGTAGATCAATAGGGACCACCTCGGTGGGAAGGTAACAGCGTTCTGTGTCTAAGTCGCACTGGCCATGTGACCACGGAAGATTGTCTTCGGACAAAACGCTGGCTCTGTGGCTTGGAAACGGGGATGAGCACCGCCCCCTAGAGTCGAACACGACTGGACAAAAATTGTCAAGGGGAACCTTTACCTTTACCTTTACTAACCCAAGGTTAAGAACCACTGATCTAGATTCTGAAAGCCCTAAAAACAATTCTTAACGTGAGCTGAGGACTTTAAAAGGTCTTCACCTCGTGCCAGAAAAACCAAAAAAAGGAAATGGGGCCATTCTGCGGAAGGCACTAAAAAGGCAAAGTCTCCTTTTATTGTCCAGCCTTTACCACAATTGACACAACACCTAGACAATTGCCTTGGATGCCCTTAGGGTGGAAGATACATGAAAAGATCATAACATGGCCTCAGTCTATGTAGGACTCTAAAGATTAAAATCAATATATGGCATTGGGCCTGCACAGGAACTGACAGCAACCACAGTCTGCAAAGTATAGCCACACCATGATTATATCAGCTAGTCACAGTTCCAAGCCTCAACACCCTGATTAGTCAACACTTTGACTAGATCCACCATTATAAACATAATATCCATGACCTACATTTTAAAAAATATTCTCTATTTCAAATCAAAGGCAAATATAAAGGGGAGTGGAGAAAAGAAAGAAGGGAGGAGAGGAAGAGAAGGAGAAAAGGGGGAATATAATAATGTAATATAAGGTGCAGTTAGAGTAATACTGTACGTTCTTCCGACCACTGAATAGTAGATGGTGTTCGTTTCTGTTTCCTGGATAACTATGTCTTTGCTGACAGCAACAGTTCATAAAATCCAGCTGTGCTGGCCACCAGTTAAACTCCAAACTTCAAGAACATAGATTAACAGTTAGGAACATAGCTGTGAAGTACATACAGATCTACAAATACTGTATAAAGAATTTCTCTAATACACAATAAATTCACTGTAATACAACTGAACAAAAAGTTACCATCGCTGGATATGTGCCTCAAAGAAGCAATGTCTCTGTCACATCATCAACATTTAGCTGAAATGGCCAATTTCTTTCAAATTTCTTGTT